CTGGAAATGTCTCTGGACTAAATCCAGTTGAGTAGACTGAATCGCTGGGCGCTCTTTCCAAATTTGTGCATTTAACAGCTTGGCTGTACGCTCTGACGTGCAGCGTGGGGTGCGTCAGTGATGGCATTATTGTGGTTCTGTGCCATCACGGGAGCGATGTGGCACTCCTGTGACCCGGAAGGTGTTTGTGTCCTCCATTAGTGCTGAGAAAAGCAATTGACTACCCTTGACAAGGTCACTGAAAATGTTTTAAGATAAATGTGAACGGTGGAAATTATCATTTTCAAGTTACGTAGTGTGCAAGATGTATGTGCTGGCCGGCATTTATAGAGGAAGGGCATTCCTACAGGAAGTTAGAATCCTAGCTGTGGAGTTCTACATGCAACTCTCCAAGGTTTCCTGTTTCCCCTCTTCATTGGGAGAGGCTATCTGTGGGTGAGACGAAGGTACGTACTTACATAGTAATATAAACAAGGCCACCAAATTGAAGGCTATAGTCTTCATCCATGAAGAGAGGAGAGAGTCATTGTTAGACCTCACAAGGTCATCTAGAATTTGAAAATTCTTAAATTATGTCTTAACACTGATCCAGGTGAGAAAACCTGGACCTTAGTTGTGGCAAGGCTGGCTTCCTAGGCACAGGACCTGAAAAATAATGGGAGACCTTGTGTTCCAAAGGGCCCTATGTTCAGTTTAATGTTCTGGTGCCACCATCTTGAAAATCTTAATTATTTTTTTAAACAAGGGGCCTTGAATTTTTATGTTACACTGAGCTTTACAGATTATGCATCGGTTATTGGGAGTGGAATTAATTTAATAAAATTCAGTTCTTTTTGAGAACAGAGGTGAAAAAGAAGCCTCCAGAGATTCTATCACCCAGGTGGACAGAGTCTGTCTCCAGAGGATTAGGTGTTTGCAGCCATCAAGACAGTAAGAGATGAGATATCTGCTGTGTATTCTCTGTGGCCACTGTGGTTCTCAATACAGGATGCATACAGTTCTCAAAACAGGGTAGAGAATATATTAGTCATCATCAAAAAGCAAATAATATAATGGGCACATACTCATCTTTTATATATTTAGTCTTGGTGCCTATTTGTTTAAGTTTGTACTTCCTTTAAGAGGCCTTTATGAGCTGATGTTAAAATAAATTCTTACGTCAGCTTTCTGCTGCTTTGTACAAATACTGTCTTTCAGGCTGCGTGATTACACATACAGCTCTGCATGTGAATTTATAGCTGCATTGACATTGAGGACAAGCCACGAGTCATGTATTTTGTAAAGTCGAGAGGCTTTTACTCACTTATACATTCACTGAATTCATTAATATGTTCAACAAATAAAATATAAACAATGTGCTCTATATGCTACTGGCTATAAAACCGCAAGAGTAACAAACACGCACAACCAGCTACTGTGTATTTTACGAGTTAGTCATTTAAAGCTGCATGTTTCTGTGAACGTTTGCAGTAAATTGTGCAAGTTAGTTCTCTTCTTGCTTTGGTCAGTTACATACATTTCTCATGGCCTCGATAATATGAAATGGATTATTTCCCTTACTGCCGTTAAGTATTCTGATCAGTGCTATTATTCTTAGTTTTAGCCAAGGAATTTTACTTTGCCTAAGGATTGTTTTGTATTTTCATTTCAGTTATAAGGAAAGGGAAGTGGGAAACACAATGGTGTGGCCCTTTTTGGAGGTGAGAGGCAGAGAAGGGAGCAGAAATCCTCAAAGAACCTAAGTTCTTTTTTATTGCTTTGTGGCTGAGAGCATCACCAAGATATGTTATTAATTAAATGATAGCTACAAAACTTCTTTAGGTGGTCGTGTAATTTCTACCCTCTCCCCCCCGCCTCAGTATCACAGAAGCATTTGCATTTGGTTTCTCTTTGTGTTCTATGGCACTTGCTTTTACCCTTAGTAACTGTCACTGTATTGTTTCTACATGTGGATGTGTCTCATCTTCTCCGCTGGAGAATGTCACTTCTCTTCCCTAGAGTGTTTTCCTTAGTGCCTTGTTGATGGACCTCACAAGAGAGATGATGGTGGCTTAGATCAGGGGAGCAGCAGCAACAATAAAAAGGTCGTAAGGTATGGGAGATATTGCAAGTAAAGATACCGCCATTTCCTGGTTGAGTAAATGTGAGTGTGAGAGAAAGAGAGTCATCCAGCATGGCTCTAAGTCTTTATTTTGACTTGAACAATTGGAAGGATTGGTCCCCATCAGATGGGGAAGGCTGAAGGAGGAGCATCCTTTTGGGGACAGCAAAGAAAATGACAAGTTCTCATCGTATTGGTAGCATTGATAATTTTTTTATGTTTGGCTTGAGTGGAGATCTGGGGGAACCTTGACATCCTGGTGGTTTTTGTTTAATAGTGATGACGCTTTTATCGCCGTAGTCTTTTTCTTAAACACATTTTTGTTTCGTAAATGCATCCTGCTGTTCACAAAAACATTTGCAAATGTTTTGCAGTGAAACCACACGCCACATATGGTTTAGGCTCTAGACAGGCTCATCCCGGGCCCACAGTGCGCATGTGTGGAATGTGCACCGCACTCTCCCACGGCCCTTCAATGGTCTGAGGGACAGTGAACCGGCACCCGGTTTAAAAAGTTTGAGGACCCCTGCCCTAGAATCGGTCTAAAATGTGAAAGGAGAAAATATGTCAAATGCCTATTAAAAATTTGTTAACCTACTCTTCAATCACCAGAGCATAAGTCTGGAAGCTCAAAAGGCAAGAATTAACATTCTTTTATGTGTTCTTTGCATTTTCTCTGGGGATCCGTTCCCCTATGGCAGGAGAAATTAGGAGTTCATTTGAATGGGGTGGTGCTGGAAAGTGGGGATACTTAAGTGAGGTCTTGTCTTTATAGCAACTTACACCGAAATTTGTCTGAGTTGCATATATGTGTGATGCAACCCTTCTGTGTTGTAATACCATCCCTGTGGGCCTCAGCTCACCATAATGCCTATGCATTGTACCCATATTATATTGTCACACATGTAAATATGGTACATTGAAATTATCTTCCATATAAGCTCTCTGTATTTTTGTTGCATGTAAAACTGGCAATCCAAAAGTGTTACATTTAAGATAGTGCTTTAATTGAAGAAGTTGAGTTCAACTGTCACCCAACCTCAAGGTTATCTTGTGATCATCTTCTGTAAAACTCCTCTCACAATTCTAGTTTCATCGTGAATAAAAACTCTGCTTATTTACTTACTAGCGCCTCTTACGTACATAATGTAAAAACATCGGAAACATTGCAGAAATGCCAAATAAGCACAAAATGTATTAAAAAATGTATGAAATGTTAACTTGAATGCATGATCCCAAGAACAGATGTATGACTTAGCTGGAAAAAAATACAGAAAGCAGAAACTTAGAAATGATCCTCAACACTAAAAGACTCCTAGGACTTTGATTTTGAATATGTATTATTTATTGATGGCTAATGAGAATTTGGCGTTTTTCCCTTTGAGTGGTTTTACCTGTTGTGTTTTGCATTGGTTGTATTTTGGATGGCGGTGGCTGGAACACAGAACCTCTGTTAACGTCTATTAACATCTTGGTCGTTCCTGGAAGGCACTGAGATTTGTTTTGTTGCAGTGCAAAGTGATGCCCCCATACCATGGAAGCTTTAGAGTTAGCCATAATATTCTTAGAGACGTTTAAGCTAATAGCAAAGTGGAAATCATACCGTAGCATCCCAAAGAGTGGTCTGGTATAACGGAGGTCCTTGAACAGCTTCCACCCACCCAACTGTAATTGAGGTGGGATCCCACCAGACGGAGATAGTGCCAGGGGTTCTTATTTTTAACTGGCAATCGGCTTGGCCTCTTAGGCATGAATGCCCAGTTCTGGTGGTAAAGAATTTTCCACGAGACTGATGGGGTGGGAGAGAACTAGCTATTTATATTCATGCTTTGAGCTTGAAAGAAAAAAAAAAAAAAAGCAGAGGGAGTAGTAAAGAAGGCATCAAGAAAGGAGGCTAAAGTAATATGCTTCTTGCATCAAAAACAAGGTGATATATTGTATTGTTCGGGCACAGTTTTCTTAGAAGCCTTATTTAATCCCTAGTCACTTATGTGATTTTGCACAAGGTCTATCTCCTCAACTTTTGTTTTTGAATGAAAAAATAGACAACTACATTATATATTTATTAGAGGAATGTTTTAAAGCAATCAATGCATTAAAGATTCCCAGCAGAGTGCCTGGCACCTGGGAAGTGCCTAATAAACAACTGCTCTTCTTTTAGAGTCAGACTTCATAGGATAAGATTTATCCTGAGTCCTTGCCTTTCTTGAGGCTGAATCCATTCCAATACATACATTATCTATCCCTGATTCGGATCATATTTCATTTACCTGCTCATTCTAGGACACAATTAACAGACACGTTCTCTTTGGGCAAATCCTCTTTGGAACTTTTATTGGAAACCCTTTTGGATTCTAAAGTTGACAACAGGCCACTCTAAGCGGGGTATTGTGTGGTTTCTGGAGTGTCTTTCATGTTCCCTGTTACCCAGGAGAGAGCTTGTGAATTGTGACCCAGGATAGATCATAAAAATGTATATATGTAGATTGATTGTCAACTGTTCTCGTGGGGCACTGCTGAGTACGTACCCTGCTAGGTTTTCAAGTTTACATCAGGGTTGAGACCTAAAAATGTAACCTTTCTTCCTTCATTAGTACACACACACACACACACACACACGTGTGTATGTTGTAGGCTTATGGCAAACGTCAAATTATGTTTTTGCTCCTTAGCATCTATGCATGTATCTAAATGACACTTTTGCTAATATGAGGGTACATATTTTAAAGTATCATGGGAAAACTTTAAATGAACATATAACATATTTGGAAACAATGAAGTATACCAACTGTAAGGTCCAAATGTCATGCAGATGTCTTTAAAATGTTCAGCAAGATTTCTGGAATTCCAGGGTCCAACCTGTATCCTGATCTCTTGATTTTTGTCTCATACTGTCCAGATTCTGCTGCAAGGCAAAAATCCGGGAATAGCTTGGAAGTATGCACTCCCCAAGGTCATGAATGGAACTCAACCAGCCACGAAAAGACACTCCCATGCCTGGAGTACGGTGCAGTCGGATTGCTCGGTGTCTTGCGGTGGAGGTAATTGGTTTCCCGATTCCAAGTCTGTCTCTTCTTAAAGCAAGTTCTTTCACTTCGGGCCTCTTTAACGCTGTATGGTTTAAACGAGTCACCCAAGAAATGCCTTTTATGAGAACGGTAACCATAAAAAGCAAGTATTGTTGCACTATTTCAGGATTTTTCTATGTAGAAAGGAACCAATTTTCACAAAGGTGAAACCAAGCAAGGCTCAAAAGTTACACCTTTGAGACTTATGGGAAAAACATATAAAATGTTTATGTATTTATAGATATGAGCATGTATATTTTTAAATGTTTGGCTTATAACTTAGTTTCCCCCAATCCTGACTTTTCTGTTGTTACAAACCTCTCCCTCCTGGGACTTACAGAAGGTAAGGTCAAAACAAGTGAGAAGTCATCCAGCGCCAGCTAAAGACTGCTGTTTGAAGTGTGAATGTCCCCTCAGGCATGAGGTTAGCAAGGTGTGTCTCAGAGAAATAGATTCCATCTCAGAATTAGCCCTGGCAAGAAAGAAACAACAGCAAACATCCACTCAGCAAGTAGAAGAATGGCATTTTATTTAGATGTCAAAAATGCCACCTAGTTTGGGGGTAAGTCAATTGTTCTCACAGTTGCCCCTTTGGGAGGAAGAATAAAAGCCCATAAATAGGTTCATGAAACCAAAGCAGGAAAGTTGGTGACTCATTCCCTATTATTCCAAGCACCCAGTGACAGTGGCTTTTCCTGCGGGATCCATCCCACTAAGCAAAATGAGGCCTCTTGGAATCCAGGATGGAGCAAAGATACAGAAAATGGAGAAATTCTTATGCCTTAGAAGGCCTGTCTTTGGTGTCCATGCTAATTAACAAAAATATGAAGAAATAACTTTTTAAATATATATGTAAAAATTAAAAGGTGTAATACATTTTTACTAACAAATGTTTTAAAGACCCTATGCTATAAGGAAGAAAAATAATATCCCACAATTTTTAAATCAGCAATAGCCAATGTTAATACTTTGGTCTGTGTCACTTTGTTTTTTTCCCTGTGCATATCCATGTGTTTGACAGACAGACATAAACCACAGTGTCATTTTTTTCTTTACTGAATGGAAATAATGGTATAGACATATCTTTGCACTCTGCCTGGTTTCACTTACTCTTAGATTGTGAGCAGGTTTTCATATAGCATGCATGCTTTGAGAACATTTCCATTGGTTCCTGGTATTCCAAGCAGAGTGCAGTGCCTTGAGGAGGAGAGAAATTGGATTCATCTTCCATTCGCAAGGAATAAATCCAACCAAGAGGAGGATGCAGAAGTGTGTTGTACAATTTCCCACCTTGCCTTGACTTAGCAGCCCCTTGAAGTGATATGCAGACCATGTTTACATCCTAAGCATAAGAGAAGAAGAGTCCAAATAAATAAATCCTATTGAAGTTAACAATTAAATTTTGGAAATTTCAATGTGGTTTTCCTGAGGGCCTCTGGAAAGCAAATCTGCTTCAACCCCAGGAGCTGGACTGACTGCTAATCGTTGTAGCAGGAGTAACTTTTTAAGAAAAAAAAAGTACCATGTAAATAAGAACAAACACAATTCATAGGACAGGCAGCATTCCTATTTGGGGAGCTGCAAATACAATTATTCCAAAAGAACTTACGCCTCTGTCAGGAAGTCCTGAATTGAATTTTGAAATCAAACAAAAGAGTCCTGGCAGATAGGTATGAATACATATTCAATGAGGTCAACATTTTGCTTATTATGAGCATCATACTCTTACAGAAGTAAAGATTCTTTGTGGCAAAACAGAATCTTAGGGTTCCTCTACGTAATTCACTAGTGGTTTTTCTTTGAAGAATGTTAGCCATTTGATGTGTGTAAATGATTCAGAGCTTGATGGGATGTTTTCTGTTATAGTCCGCCTGTTTCCAAAAGGTTGTAGTTATCATTTTATGGTTCTAGAATCCACATCAGTTTTGAAAACCAACAATCTATTAATACACGTTAAAAGTATTAAAATACGAACTCTAGTATCTTGGGGTGGGAAATGGAATTCAAATTAGTTTAAGATTTTATCAAAAAGAGATGTTTTCACAAAATCTTTGGATTCCATTTCTTAAATAAGATTATCACAGTGCTGATAAAACAGAAGCTAAACTTGGAAACCAAGTTGAAATAGCTATCTGTAGTTTTTACTTTGTAACTTCTCATGTCTTACTAGGTTACATAAGTGTAAAGGCCATTTGCTTACGAGATCAAAATACTCAAGTCAACTCCTCGTTCTGCAATGCAAGAACCAAGCCAGCAACTGAACCCAAAATATGCAACGCTTTCTCCTGCCCGGCCTAGTAAGTCATCTGGAAATGACTTTGTGTTTATGTCCGTACTTGTATGCCTTTATTGTTACGAGATGATGAAAGCCTACTTCTAGTAACTTCTAATTGAAAGAGATGCAAAGGTAGATGTAATGCCTAAAAAAATAATAGAAGAACAAGATGGTTGTGGTTGAAATATGACTTGGAAAACACAAATTTGCTTTAAACACTCACTTGACTTTGGCTATACAAACCTAACCTTGGGATATGAAGATATCTTTTTTTAAAAAAAAGTTTTGCCTAAAAATTCCTCTTCTCAAAACTGAATCAAACAGATATTTAAATAACATAGAATCCTATATTAGTTAAATTTGCATGTTGGTGTAGGTTTAACTTTTATATAAGTCATCCAAGAATTCCCAAATCATACTATGCAGACCATGAAACCCCAAATGCAAATTACACAGTAGCAAGACACAAAAAGAAAGAGGTATAGGCCAAGTGGTGACCCCATTTGCTGATGGTACCCTATGTGGGACTCATGAGTTTTTTTCCTGGATTGATTTTAGCCACGCAATTGTTTGAACACTAATGTTAAGCCATCTTCCCAGCCAAATGGAGTTTCTTTTTAGGTGATTTATCTTCTGCCAAATATATTTATATGGAATGGACAGAGTTTATTCTAAAGTAATGTTGTATTCACCAATGTTTTAGATCATCTTAATAAGTACTGTTTGGTTTGTGGTGATACAGTCATATTACACAATCTTTTTATATATATGCATACGTTTTCTTTGTAAATAATAGTATATTTGCCATAATCATTTGGGGTTTTAGCTCTCCACCAATCCCCTGTGCGCAAGTTTTTCTCTTAGGCTATGGAACCAGATGTATCATGGACACAAAGAGGAGAAAGAAATGGGGGGGGGCTTCCATGGATTTTGCTCTGTTGCTAAGAAAATATCTGGTTCTAAGAAATGTGCCAGTGGCTCTAAGCTATGGTTACCAAACAATGTTGTTGATCTTTTTGGAGTAACCTTTTCTTTAGGTGGTGTGAGGTATGTTCACATACCTGTAGGGGTATTCAACACACTTGAATGGCGAGCTGACATTTTGAGCCTCATTCCCATTATTGATTATTCCATCCAACTAAAGAAAGGGAACCTGTTCACATGTACATCCATGGAAAGGGAGAGCACCAAGGCCATGGACTTCCCTGATGACTACATGTAGTAGAAATGGTGTTCTGAGCTGTAACGAATTTCTTGGCTATGTAAGAGGAGGACAGCCCCTTGCAATGGCCCCTGCCGAGCTTGAATAGTGACATGGGCAAGAACCTCCCACCCCCTTCATTATTTCTCAGTATTTTCCACTGGAACAATGGGACCTTTCACAAATTCTTGTTCCCCAAGGAAAATACTAGAAAGAAAGGGTTAGACTTTTAGTGCAGATAAAATCCTTTGTCCTTATATTTCTAACTCCACTACTTTCTCATGTAACCACCACATCATAAGCACTTACTGTATACCAGGCCCTGAGCTGAGAACTGGGGAAAGGAAATGAGTAACAAGTAGTTCCTGCTATCAGTGAACCGACAATCAAACGGAAGAGATACATATGTGATGAAATAATTGAGATGCAGTTCAGTCTGTGCTATTAAAATGTTATATACAGAAAATACCTGGCAGTTAAAGTGGACAGTGTGGGGGTCTGAGGACAGGTGGATGAGGGTTGAAGTTGGTATAAATAATTGTACAAATGAGGAATTATTCTATTTGATATCTTTAAGATAGTAAAGCTTACAGTGCTTTAGAATACATGTAATCCTAGAACTTATGTGCTATATTCTCTGAACTAAAGGTCTTTACACACATCCGTTTGTAGGGAATCCAGAAGGAAAATTATAAAACTATGCAAGGTGACAGAAAATCAGAGGTACAGGAAAAATGTACTTGATCTTATTCTCTTTTTAGGAAATAAAATACTAATATTTCTAATCCAAGATCATTTTTCATACGTTGCTACTGTGGCCCAAATGGGTAATATTATTAATATATGTGGTGCGTCTTTATGCTGAGCCTTCACATCATAGAATTTTACTTGAAAGAAGTAACTGAAAAGGATTAGTAATTTCAGTGGTTCATCATTCAAATATATACCAAGTCTCAGATAGGTGTTAAAAAAAACCTGGCAATTTTTGAGTAAAGAGCATGAGGGTAGATCTCTAACCCATCAGGAAATTTTAGAACTTAGAGATACCTTCTGTGTGACCTTCTCTGAATGTATCCACCTGCCTCTCTCTCTGTCTCATTGGTCACTGTTCCATTAGCCTCATTTGTGTAATTTGAGTCTGCTTCCCTTGCAGCACTTAAAAAGGATTGTTTGTGTTCACATACCCACCTTTTCACAGTGTCATATGTTTTTTGATGGAAAGGAGGCTTGCCGTTTCACTTTCCATCCCTCATGCCTAGGAAAAATCCCTCAAACATAGTTAAAATAATCGCAGTCACTGTGGCTGAATGAACTGTGCAGATATTAAAAGGGCATGGGTCTCTTCCCATGCAGAGGCAGGAATATATTTTTCCCTGGAACCATGTGGTAATTAAATGCAATTCTTTATATCTGGGTAACATGTGTGCAGCCCTCAACATCTGTCAAAGAACTTGTGTAAATGTCCTTTATTGGTTCTAAAATTGATCTAAGGCTTTCATCAAGTGCTTAATCTTTCAGAGTAACTGCTTTGGAAGTGTGATGAAACAGAGTCTGAGCTCCATTGGAAATATTTTTCTTTTTCCCTAAAAGTTGGATGCCGGGTGAATGGAGCGTGTGCACCAAGTCCTGTGCTGGGGGCCAGCAGAGCCGAAAGGTCCAGTGCGTGCAAAAGAGGCCCTTCCAGAAGGAGGAAGCGGTGTTGCATTCCCTCTGCCCAGTGAGCACGCCCACTCAGGTTCAAGTCTGCAACAGCCACGCCTGCCCTCCGGAATGGAGCCCTGGGCCCTGGTCTCAGGTAAGTGGGAAAGACCTTAAAATCATGTTCTCAAACCCCATAAAAGATGCAGGTGGTGAAAATACAGGTGCATTTGCTGCTGAAAAGGCTCTGACCTGTTTACATCTTCCTGGGAATCACACCAAGGTAATGTGGTGCCTAGGAATCTGCATTGTAACTCATGTGTTTAGTGACTCTTAGGAAACCCGAAGGTTTGAAACCCCTGTCCCAGAGCTTAGCATTCTCCTCACAGGTTCAGACGTTAGAAGGTCGGGCTGCTTAGGCTACACTAGTGAGCACAGCTGGAGAGGGTTTTTCAGTGTAGAGCAGGCATCCTCTAACTACAGTCTGTGGGCCACCCACCTGCCGGATATTTTTGCCACTGCTGCCTGTCCTGCTTAGCAGCTGACTCGTCCCGGGCCCACAGTGCACATGTATGGAATGTGTGCTGGGTTCTCCAACGGTCTGAGGGAGTGAACTGGCCCCCTGTTTAAAAAGTTTGAGGACCCCTGGTGTGGAAGATTAGCATAGAGACCTGGCAACTGAATTCTCTAAAGCAAATGAAAGGGATAGTCACCTCATTCGTGCTGAAGCAAGAGTTAGAAGACTAGGGAGGGGCTGAGCATACAATAAGCTAATGTGAAAGGCATAAAATTTTATAGTTGGAAGAGGTATGGAACCACCTGTCATTCACTACTCAGAATCCCCTGTGAAGCAGAGGTTCTCAAATGGGGGTGAGTTTGCCTTCCAGGAGATAGTTTTGATTGTCTCATTTGCAGGGTGCTCCTGGCACCTAGCAGCTAGAGGTGAATGTCCTACACAACATGACAGCTCCCACAACAGAGAATTATGTGATCTAAAAGGTTTGCAGTGCAAAAGATGAGAAACTCTGCCCAAACCGTGGGTGGCTAACAAATTTTAGAGAAGAATGAAGAGTTTCATCACTGGAACGATGAAGCCACGTGGCAGCCACTGCTCCCATTTCTGCCATGCCTGCCTTTAGGGTATTTTATATCCTACAGAGTGTTGATTTCTGAATAAGTCCAGCAGAGTAACCTTTATTAGGACTATGACTAGTAGGGGAATAAGGGACCTAGGAGGAAGAAATACGTTTGACCTTGTTTAGGGCTACTTTCAAATGAGAGGATGTATGTGCATTTATAGCAGGGAGTAAATCTAAATAGTCTATGCTGGTGAGTCTGGTCTCTTTCTTTGCAGTTAGGGATTTAAAGAATTGTTTGGCCCAGTCTATATGGTGGGCATGGGTAAAGGCAAACAGACCTCATGAAAAGGGCTTTAGTTCATGGAGTCTATTTGACTACTGAAACCTACTGCCCCTTTTTAAGAACTGGTTTATGACTAACATGAAAGGGGTCCTTCTTCCTTTACAAAACTATGTGTCTGGGAATGAAATCTATAATTTTGCCCCTCTGAAAAATAGCTGCAAGCATAAAATGAAAATTGTATTAAGAATTCAGCAGTTGGAAATTTTGTATGTCAGTAAAGTGAGAGTGTGGTTCATGTCCATGGTCTGGCCTCAGGTGAGTGTATGGTCATCTCTACTACTAGCAGCTATGCGAGGGATCTTGGTCAAGATGCCCCAGCTCTCAGATGTTAAGTTGCCTTTTTTGTAAAAAGGATAATAGCAATTATCCTATGCTTGTGAGAGAGTTGTGTGATATAGACTAGAGTACCCATGCTAAAATGCATCATCATGTGGAAGGCATTAATAGTCTCTGCCCCCATGGTTTGCTAATTATATCATTTCCCTTTCTTGCCCAGCATGATTTGACACGGGTCCTCTGAACAGGCTTAGAATGGTGCCCCTGCAGCCTGCATATTACCAAGGGGCCACCTCTCCTCAGGTCCTTCTGAGAGGAAAATAAGTCTCTAGGGTAGGAATGGTGACACATCCCTTGAGGACAAATCTGAGCCTGGAGCCAAAGTGTTTTAAGTGAACTTAGCACACTTTTAACTACTTCTCTGAAAGCAAGATGGTGGCTTCCTGCCTTATCGATGTCAGAGTTGTCAGGGTCAAAAAACTGGGAGAGTGAGTTGCCTAGCCTAAAGATGTGTATTAGGCAAACTTACTCACAAATGCTTGCTCAGTTCTTACTGTCCCCAGTAGTGTAATAGAGACAGCACATGTTGGGGTAAGAACTAAATCATCCCCAAGCTTCTTTTGTTGCTACTGTACATATATGTGTTCTACACATGTATTTCTCCTATTATTCTCCTTGTGGGAGATACTAGGAATCCCATTTAGCTAACTGCTCAGGTCAGCTCTGCCTTGTGCCAGAGAGAAATGCACACATGGTTACAGTTTGGAAAAGAACCGGTGCTTCATAATGACCTGGACACAGCAGCCACTGGACATTTGCAAAGTGAAGGCCAATCATGGACGAGTTACTGTCTTTCCTGGGCCTCTGGGTGGATTTCTCCTGATGCCAAGAACTTGGACTTTACTGGGAATTTTGTTCAAATGCTTAAACATACTGTTGCAAACATTTTATTACTTTAGTATGTTCTCAGCATTTACCCAGAAGAAAATCAGCTGAAGCATGCATGCATGCAAATGACATTTTACTTTTTGCTTCTCAAGTGCTCCAAGACCTGTGGACAAGGAGTGAGGAAGCGTGAAGTATCGTGCAAAAGCTCTGCTGCCGAGACCCTCCCCGAGAGCCTGTGCACCAGCCTCCCCAGACCCGAAGCGCAGGAGGGATGTGTGCTAGGACGATGCCCCAAAAACACCCGGCTGCAGTGGGTTGCCTCGTCGTGGAGTGAGGTTGGAGTTTAGATGCATTGTTGGTTTTTTTTTTTTTGAAAGGCTTAAGTCACCTACCATTATTCAAGTTCACAAAGCTCCTTTCTGTAGCGTACATACATACCAGGTACCCACTGTTTGTCAGTTCTTCCCTCCCAATATTTTTTCAGCAACTATTGATAAACTACATGTCTCACTGATTAGGTCTGTGCAGGGGGCACAAAACTTCCTAAACCACATGTAGAAAAACATCATAAGGAATGCAAAGTAGTGCAGTAGAAGTCTGTGCTTCTCTAGGAAGCCTCAAGGTATAACCCAGAGGAATTCTTAGCAGAAGAGACTTTCCATGGAAAGTGAGCCTTAGGGATGGGCAGGAATCTAGCAAAGGTAGAGTCAGGGAGAGGTTGTTCCAGGCAGAGGGTGCAACTTACATGGGAGACCTATGACGGAGGATCCTAGGTGTAATAAGGATGGGACCATCAGGTGTGCTGGAATGGGAAACTTCTTGAGGACCTTCTAGAAATGAATCCTATGAACACTGGGGAGCCAATTTGAAATTTTAAAGAAATGAAACGATGTTTTCATTTTAGAGATAGTGGAATGGATGCATATATGTGGCTATTGCACTAATTGAGCCACAAGATGAAAGTGTTTTAGGGATAGAGAGAAATGATGCTGTTGAGTTTCCAAAAAAAGCCACTGGGTACCTTCAGATATGTAGGGGTGGGCAAAAAGGAAAGATGTGAAGATGCTGTCTAGGTTCCCAGCTTGGGAAACTAGGTTGAATTCACAGACATAGGAAACATAAGGAAAGCAGCTAGCCTGGAGAATACAAGGGTGACAAATAAGTGCTCTGCTCCTAAAGCATTTATAGTCTCATGCCAAGATTGAGGAGGACAAAAAAAATATCCAATAAAGTAGATGGCAAGGTCGAATGGAGGGGGCTTTTATCCCTTCAAAGTGACTTTTATCCCTCAGCATATGATTTATGCATGTCTATACCTGCTTTAAGAGAGATTAAACACTTGGGCTTGAATCATACTTACCCCTGTTTGAAATCAGCCTTCAGGTGTGGCTTTGTTACCCACTCACACAGCTAAACCTTGGTTTTCCCATCTTTGCACTGGAGCTAGCAAGTACATCTCCCCCATAGAGGAGTAAGCATGAAGCTCAATGGCATCTTGGGCTGTATTAGATATCTACACTAATGCCAATTTTACTGATCTATCCACCTTACCAGGGCCCCATCCATTATTCTGTAATACCATTTGCAATTCTTTTCACAACATTTTCTTATACTTACTCCTTTTACCCCCTTGCCAGGTTTAGGTTACATGTCAGCTAAGGGTAAACATAAAAGACAATTATTTCTCATATGGTGGTTCTTCCACTCAGAGGTCTTTAACCCTTTTCTCTGGGCCCTACCCTCCTTGGCTTAGACTTTCAAGAGGTCTCAGGTAGACCTAGACCCTCAAGTGTTTAATCCCAAATGTGTGCAGCCAAATAGTGCCCTGATCTCATCCTTCTGCCAATTCTAAGACTCTACCTCACATTCATTTTTTTTTTATGGTGCTAATGAGCTCTGTGACTTTGGGAAAATCATTCTAATTCCCTGACTTTAGGTTTCCTTACCAGTAGCATGGGGCACTGGGCTGCTGTATCTTTAATACCCTAATGTATTGGGTGACCTCCCATAATCCCATTCCTCTAATTTCACATGTATAGGTGCAACTCTGCACTCTTAACCTCTCCTTTCTTGGTTGGCTCTAGTGCTCTGCAACCTGTGGCTTGGGTGTGAGGAAGAGGGAGATGAAATGCAGTGAGAAGGCCTTCCAGGGAAAGCTGATAAGCTTCCCAGAGCGAAGATGTCGCAACCTTAAGAAACCAAACCTGGACTTGGAAGAAACCTGCCACCGAAGGCCTTGTCCAGCCTACAACATGGCAGCTGGATGGTATTCATCGCCATGGCAACAGGTAAGTACAGAATCCAGAGGTTTGTATTCAAGTGTGATGTGGGAAAGGAGGCATTCTGTGAATGGTTGCTTTTAGTCCACCAGTGGCTCAAAGTCTAAGGTAGACTGGTCTGTGATCAGTTCCCCTGTCATAGACTGCTAATGTTGCTGCTACAACCATCATCTGATTAGCAATCCTGCTCTCACAGGCTTTAGTGATTAGCTTCTTAGTAAAGTACATAGCAAGGGTTTGACTAATCCTAGCTATTAAGTACACTTCACTTTCACATAATGCTTAAACCAACCTTACTAATGGGCAGTCTCATCCTTCCCTTGTGGATGAGATAGGTAGTCCTAATGCTCAGCCAAAGATGGCAGATTTTAAGCTCCTCAGATGTTAGAGCCACCGTTCTTCTGAGAGGATTTGGATGACGCTTTGGTCACATGCGCTTGGTTCGTATTGACTAGGCTTGGATGGTGATGCTACGTCCCTGAGAATAACCTGTCCTCAGGAATCCAAAGCTCAGTTTGGACCTTATAGTTTTCTAACCCCTCAGGGCTATGCATATCATTCTTAGAGGGATTAGATAAGCAAAAAATTGCCAGTAGGCCAAGACTCTTGCCTGTTTTTGTAAATCAAGTTTTAGTGGAACATCGCCAGGCTCATTCGCGTACGTATTGACTACAGCTGCTTTTGCGCTACACCAGCAGAGGAGAGTAGTTACAACACAGACCAGATGGTCCATACAACCTACAATATTTACTGTCTCATACTTACAGAAAAAGCGGTTTAGGTGATTTGATGACAGCCATATAGCTGTATTTTCCACCCCAACATATTTTTTTCTCCCATATAATAGGCCACATCATGGTAAGATAAAGCCTTCATCTGTCTCTAGTAAAATTGGGGGTATGGAGGAGGGATAATATAGTGAATTTTTAAACCTACAACAAAAAGTCAATTGAAAGTGCTACATTTTCCCCTGATGTTTCCCGTTTTTTATTACAAAATATATTAGCTTTTCATATGTGTATATCTGGATAAAATGAAACCGAGTCCTTGTCAGTTGCCTACATTTTAAAAATTTTGATTGGACAGTGCAAACACTGACTTCTAAGCAGCACTAAATCCACAACACCAACTCAGAATCTGGGCACTGAGGACATAATGCGAAAGCTACCTTCAATGGTCATCTTTCAAGTCTTAATTTGGGACTCTCTCTTCCACCCTTGGATCTGCAGTGATTGTGTCTGCAGTTCTGGAAACTCTCTTCTTTATGAGTCACTTAAGGGGGAGACACCCGCTCTTGGGCTAGATAGATAGCATTTGCCTAAAACCCTTCTAATCAGATGAAAGGGCTCCCGATTGTTAAGACAGAGTCTGTGCCTGGCTCCAGACGATCTTCGTGTCATCAGCAGTTATCTTGGTAATGTCATGAAGCACAGAGCTTCCTTCCATGTGATGTCACTGACCTAGGAAAGGATGAGTTCCAGCTGCATGGCGCTGACTCCTTCCTCTTTCCTGCAGTGCACGGTTACCTGCGGGGGAGGCGTGCAGATGCGCTCGGTCCACTGTGTGCAGCACGGCCGGCCTTCCTCCAGCTGCCTGCTCCGGCAGAAACCTCCGGTGCTGCGAGCCTGTAACACAAACTTCTGTCCAGCTCCTGAAAAGAGAGGTAAAGGGCACCGTGCTTTCGAGAATTTTCCAAAAGCCCACAGCTTGCATAACGCCGGGGTTGTTTGTGTCACAATGATGGTGTGTGCCTACGTGTCAACTTCCACGATGCAACAGTTTGGAAATAGTCATTTTTAATTATTGAATAAACAAGTGAAAGAATAACGACCCGGTAAACTGTTACATGCCCAGAGATCATAGTAATCAGTGGGAAGATGAATGTGAAGAATTACCCTAAAGGAGCCAACCTAGAGTCAATGACAGCGAGTGTATATTGCCTTCTTACTGCAGCTTCAATGTTTCCTAAACATTAGCTAATGTTAGCTAAAGTCAGTTCCCATCAAGAGCAATGAGTACTGATGGTGAAATGGAAATTCAATTATCTGAACTGTACCCTTCTTACTAGTCCAACTTAAAGTAATCTGACAAATACCAGAAAATATTTTTCAACCTAAAACAATTTCCCTGTGCTCAAAACTCAATTTCTAGCATCTAACTGCTGGGTTTTCTCTTTTATGCAGTCATGGCTTTTCCAGGACTGTCACACCCTGGCTCGCCCCTGTCACTCTGTGTCTACGTTGTTGTTTATCTACTTACAGTCTTAGCTCCAGGATGGGGCATCACTTTTCCTTCCTCTGTATCTTCTCTGCTACATGTTTTGTGCAAGCCTCCATTGCTCAAAGCCAGTTCATGTCCAGATCCATGCTGGAATTCTACCTGGGGAAGAAATGGACATTTTTTAGTAAGGGGTCCTATTCTTGTAGCTCCTGTCTTCCTTTCTGCCCTTTAGTCAGGTGGCCATAAATTATAAGCCCCTCCGTGCTTTCAAGGAGACCATTGCTCTAATTATTTCTTGTTCACCCAAGCATGTACTACTTACTGCACAGGGTAGGTGCTCAATATCTCTTGTATGAATAAGTGAAAGATGGTATGCAAAGTGCCACGAGGTCCCCTCTACTACATTCACAGCAGAGTCACTAAACACAAAGAATAAAACAGGGTCCTGTTCTTAAGCTACAAGCTCAGTGTGTCAGAGGAGGGAGGGATATTAGATGTTGTGAAAATGGTCATGTCTGTGTTGCAGGAATGAGGGGAAGTCACATGAAAAAAGGCTATTGAAAGAGGGGTACAGGACACAAACCATGGGGTGTGTGTGTGGCCAAAAATGTGGCTTACATTTTCCCCTAGTTTTCCTATTTCTATCCCAGGTATAGGAACACTGCCACGCCTGAACTATGGCCGTGTGTGTCCTTCTCCCATATCACTCCAAAGGGTGACCACTACAAAAGCCACTGGAGTATACTTTCATGAAGAGTATTCACTTCTTTGACTTTTCTCAGATTCCCACTAGGGGCTAGAGTCTGAGGGTTTCAGAGGGTACAGCCTTCCCTTACACTCAAGGCAGCAGTTTCCAGCCATTGCACTCACTCAACCTAGCCCCTAGACAAGATGATTCAGCCCAGGTTGGCATTATCTTGTCTTCCAGAACACCCCAGCAGGTTTGCCATCCCTGTGGCCCCCACCTGTACTGCCTGCCAGGCATTCATTCTACACCATGAGCACTGTTAGATGCCTCATGTGGAGATTCTGGTTAGATCTCCACGTTGGGGAAGGATCCTTATGATTTTGAGCCATGCATATTTTATCAAAGGCCCTAGGCAGTGATACTCGTCTTCATGCTACATTGCAACTGGTTGGTTGTATGGTCTGGCAGATGCCTGGGCTGCAGACTGGTTACATTAAGCTAGGGCTGATAAGGCACTCAATAAACTCTGCCTCGTGGAATCCCACATCTTCAGATGGGCAGCTGTATTGGGGCAAAAGGTACAAGGACTCAGACACTAGCTAGGCAGTTTTGGGAAAATGTTTAACTTTCTGAGCTTTTCATAAGGTAGGAAAATAATGTTTACTGTGAACCAGGAATTGTTCTGGGGTCTGGATCAGAGATAGAACAAGGAACAAAACATACCAAGTGCCTACCTTCAGACAATGTTCTCCTTTTTGTTTCCAGATGGAAACAGACAACCAACCAGTAACATACAATGTCAGATGATAAAGTAGCAGGAAGTAAAACTGAAGCAGGGTATGTATAAAAAATGGAGGGGAGAAGGTAGGAAAACCAGTGTAGATAGAATGGGCAGGGGCAGGCCTCTTCATGATATAGTATTTGAACAGAGACTTCCAGGACATGGGGAAGATGAGCCACATATGAGTTTAGAAGGAGCATGTTCCTGGTTAGAGGGAATAGGAAATGCAAAGGCCCTGAAGAGGGAATATATGAATCCAGTTAAGGAACAGCAAGATGCTTGGAATGGAAGGTAAAGAGTGGGTTAGACAAACTGAAAGGGGTCCCTGTCTGAAATAAAGACTTCAGATTTTACTCTGAATAAGACAGAAGCCAGTGGCACAGAGGAACAATAGGATCTGGCTTGGAGGAAGATCATGGGCAGTTACAGTGAAGAGTAGGAGTTGCCTAGAGTAGAACAGGACTTGCCCACTCCCGTGGCTGCAGTAGTCCAGAGAGAGGGATCCACTAGAGCAGGGGCAGTAGTGAGAAGGGGTTGGATGCTGGGTATAGTTTGAAGATTGCGCCAATAATATCTCTTGATTATTTGCGTGCAGGATGTGAGACAAAGAAAGGACTCCTAGGTCTCTTCAAAGTCATTTTTAAAAGCATAAATAACTAATTCATAGAAGCCCAAATAACCAGCTACTAGTAATCGTCATAACTATAATCAGACAGAATACTTACACTGGTAGCTCAGGGATACAACTCTCTTCTGCTGGTGGGGCAGGGGGACCACACCCAGCAGCTGGGGGCTTCTCAGGTATCATCATGACCGTACCTCCAATTCCAGTGGTAGCCCAGGGGAGAGTAGGGGGCAGAGGCATGGCATGAACTAGCTTATGTTCTGAAAGGATCATGGGACCACTGTGAGATGGGTTAAAAGGGAATTTTAGGCAGAATCATCAAGATTTGACAAAGGAACTCTAGGTAATTCTGAATTATAACATGACAGGATGCAAGAGGTTTCAGAGTCTTGCATGCCACATTCGAAGGTACAATAGGAGAGTCACCAAAGGATGCCATTTGGGAGCCTCTAGGAATGAAGAGGTTGGTTGAGTCAAAGCTACAGGCAGCTTAAGGCTTGCATAGGAGGAAACCATTCTAGGTATGAATGATAATATGCTTTAAGAATACAAGAAGATGCCTAGACCCTAGTTCCTAAAATGTACACCTATGTTTACATAATTTTATGTACAATTTTATGTGCATTTGATATCTCCTGAGGTCCATCTGAACAAGAATTCCTGATCTCTTCCTTCCAATACATAATCATACCTGTCATCTTACTTGAACAAGCACAGAAATTAGGAAGGACTAGTATTGGCCTAACTTCACTCATTAGCAAACTGGCTGTGAGATTTATTTAAGCCCACACAGAATGTTGGCAGGAGGCCTCAAATCTAGCTGGTCTTGACTCCCAAAATATTAGGCTCTTCAATCCCCAAAGTAGAGTGCATGGACCAGCAACATCAACACCCCCTGGGAACTTGCTAGAAACATACAATGTCAGCCCCTACACCAGACCCTCTGATTCAGAACCCCTGGTAGCTCCCAGCTATGTGGGGATGATGGGCCATTGATTTTGGACTAGATAAGACTTTTTAAAGTAACATCCGTTGTTTCCCACCTGATTAAATTTTGCTAATGGTTGCAGTCCCTTGTGGGATCTTAATCCTGCCCCCATCTCAGTCCCCTACCAAAGTCCTGTGTAATGAGAAGAACCACACAAGGTAGGTGGGCCCAAAGTCTTTGTTCTTACCTTAGGAAAAAGGCTGACAGCTGTGACTACCATGCTGACTGTGTTTTCTTGTTTTAGAGGATCCATCCTGTGTGGATTTCTTTGCCTGGTGCCACCTGGTTCCTCAGCATGGTGTGTGCAACCACAAGTTTTATGGTAAACAGTGCTGCAAATCCTGCACAAGGAAGATCTGAGCTTGGAGTCCACACCTCAGAACCCTAGAGCCAGGGTCTTACCTTTCAGCCTCCGGAGAGACCAGCCCCCTTTGAGATCAGAAGCTGAGCATGCGCAGTGGTTGAAGAGCCAGCTCTGAGGAACATACAGGTTGTCACCAGGCTCCTATTTCAATTCCCCAAAGCACATGGTACTCTGAAGCACTTGAAAATAGGAAGCGATGACAAATCTGACAAAAAAAAAATCTTTGATTTGCACTGTTATACAAAAGGAGTTGGTGAATCATACTGAGATATGTCAACTTTGGTTTTCAACTTCAAAGGGTTTGATGGCAAAGACATCTGGTTTACAAAAGTCCCTTAAGACAGACCTGGAGCAGTCCAATGTGGATGGAACACCTTGCCTAACTGTGGCCTGGAGTCAGTTCACAGTTTTCATACACACTGTGAACACCCAAACCAGGAGAAGCCAAATGGTGCTCACAAGTTTGCTTGCTGCTGGACTAGCAAGCTTCATGTTATGTTTATTTAGTGTGTGTGTGTGTATGTCTATTACTTTGTTTAAGGTATATTCTGCTTGTAGAGAGAGTCTCCAAGACTAAGATTAACAACTTGAAAAGTATTCCAAGGAATATTATGAAAACAGGGCAACACAGACTATTATTTCAGATCTCCATGTGACTGACATTCATGTTCAGGACAAAACAACTCATGTTAGAGACAAATATTAATGCCCTTCACACGATAGCAACCTCATAACTTTTGGTGCTTGCCGAACCAGTACATGGGAGGCCAGAGCCTGCTCTTTGGGAATGAGGAAGTGTTTGTTTCTGGTTAAAAAAAATTCAAGAGGCCATCATTTATAAAAATGCTCCCTATAAATTATCAGAGCTGCTTGGAAAATTAAAGACCACTTGTGGCTTTCTTCTACCAACTGACATGTTTAAATTTGCCCTGGGATTTAGGTAACAAGAAAGAAACAGTGGCAATAGAAAAATCCATCTGCCTTCTTGCTACATGAATATTAATAAATCATCCTCTACCCACACTCTTCAGTGGATATTTTATCATTTTCAGTCATCAGAAGCCAGCAGTTGGTAAGCATTAATGAGCTTAAGATTGTTCTCAATTGAAAAACCACCACACTATTTTGCCAAAACCAAAGTAATGTGCAAGACTGTGCCCTCCTGTAATTTTTTTCAGAAGTGGTTATAAAGGGCAGATTTACATGATTCTATTCCATTCCTCAACTTTTTTGGCTGAATGTAATCCAGTTTTACTTGAAAAAGTTTCAATTCTAGCTGGATTAACCAGCTCAGCATAACCAACTAGACAGTGGTTTGTTAAATTTAGCAGCATCCTTTGTTCCCATTCTAATTAAAGTCATGAGTTCAATAATTAGGAACTTGTCTCCATCTACTTGGCTTGGCCTACAATAGTAGCCATTTTATCAGGAAAAAAGGTTCCACACACCCTGAAAAATAGCAAGTTCTTTGTTTCTTTATATAATTATCATATTATTTTATGAAAAATTAATTTATTAATTAATAGGCTATTATGTGTTCTCACTTGCCTCCCTAAGTGATCTTAATTTTGAGGAAAAATGTTGAATAAAACCATGGATTATAGAGAAAAGTCAAAATATATGTGTAATATTTAATTATTTTATAAGTTTTATAATAAAGTATTCTGTTTCTTTGAAACTTGTTTAGTTCTTGCATGAGTTAGTGAGAAGTCAGTTATTTCCAAGGTAATTTAAATGTATACATTTTCATCAAGAATCTAAGAGGTAAACTCCATTCAATTAAGGATTTAGAACAAAAGAGTGGAAACTCTTAAGTGCATGATTACACTGAATCTGAGAATATTTATAAGCCCTCTATTAAATCAGGTTTTATGCCCCACATACTCTGGGAGCTTCAAGTATACTTGATGGTAAGGCTTTTGTGCGTAGGAATGTGTGCACAAACACACTTCCACCTAAACAACTTGACCTCCAAGTCTTGAAAAAGGTTTCTGTACTTGCCACGTATGCCAATATAATGAAAATGCCCTTATTTTCAAAGCTAGTCAAAAACTCGAGAGAAGGAAAGATAAACAAGGAAAAAACCATTAATTGTTGAATCTTATTTGGAAACCAGAAAGCATCAAATGCTAGGATGAAACAGATGAACACATTTACCTTCCTGAGGAGACACCGATTTTATTGTGTAATGGACGTGTAAACACGTAGTCATGGAAATCATCAAAAATAAAGCTACCATGAAAGGATGTTTTTTTCTATTTGAAAGGTATTCTAGTGAAATACTTTTGCAAAACAAAACAGGGGAGGGGAGGGATGAGACAGAAAAGATGGAATAAGAAAAAAATGAGGAAGCAACTGCTCTCAGGCTTTGCAAATTTTGAAGCATTAGCTCAATAGAGAACAACAACTACCGAAGTAAGGCCAATGGACCTAAGTAGACAACATTTTTCCCTGTACCTATGATTACATACGTGTGTATACATATTCATATGCCTATCTTTAAAATAAATTTAAGAGGATTTTTATATGCATTATTGCTTTTTAACAAACAAGAAATTATGGTTAAGACTGGGAGAGGGAAGGGGCAAGATGGCTGACTAGAGACATTGGTCACCAGATTCTCTCAGAGGGAAAAGTTTTAGATGGGAAAAAACATAGCTCAGGTGTAATTCTGACGAAAAGTGCCAGAACCTACCACTGATGACATGCGAAGAAAGAGCAGCACAAGGAACAAGATTGCAGTAGAGATCAACCTCAGAGGAACACAGAGGCCCGTGGAAAAGGTACAAGTGTTTTTTGTCTTGTCCTTTCACACCTCGGGCCATCGTCAGAGGCCCTGGAACTGCTGGGGAGCTTCTCCACCATCAAGAGCCAAAAAGCTGCTACCCCCAGTGAACTCAAAGCACCTGGCTGGCTAACTCCTCGGGGTCACTCCCCCCTGACCACAGCCAGGAGCTGAGCTGGCAGGCGCCATACGGTTTCTCCTGGGCACACGTTGTGAGCCTTTGTCCAACCCCAGGGAGCTTCAGCCCTTTAGTTTTCATGCCAATGGTCCCCACAGGAACATTTCCCAACTCCTGCCCAGACCAGGGTGCCACAGGGGGCCGGTGGGTCCTGGGGCATGTGTGTCATCTCAGAGCTTGGACATGCCAGGTGGGCTGCCTTCTGGGGAGAGGGACAAAGATGGCCAGAGTGTTGCTCTCCTCCACGCAGACTCTTTCCCTTCCCTTCCCTCCCCGCTGCTGCTGCCAGGTAGCACAAATGCCCCAAGGGACAGTACAGCTGGGGTTCTCAGAAGTGGCTGTTTTCCCTGCGTTGGCATGGTCGCTACCACAAAGAGGGGCTCAAGCCTTTCCCCTTAGACACCTACAGCAGGCTGAGGGGTGGTCAGACTCTGAGCTCCCTGCCCACTGGCCCACCTGGCTGGCCCAGCAGAGAGGGGCACACCCCAAAGTGGAAAGACATCAAGCCTGCTAGAACACTCCATGGGCAATGTGGGACCAGCACGCTTCTCCCTGGCATGGTCAGGGATTGAACTTGGGAGACCAAGGGACAGGCCCACAGGCTGGAACCTGTATCCCCAGG